GGGATTGGATCTAGATCAGGCCCCCTCACCTGGGTATCTTCCTGGCCCTCATTGAAAAGATTCTCTCCTGGGTTAGTGTCTTGAAAGAAGCTAGTTTGAGGGCTGGAGAGATAGTACAGCGGGTAGGGCATTTGCCTTGCCCGTGGAAAACCTCGGTTCATTCCCAACACCCCATATGATCCTCTGAATCCTCCAAAAATGACCCTGAGTGCAGAGCCAGGAAGGGGACCTGAGCACACCTGAGAATAGCTCCCTCCCTTCGCCCCTAAACACAAAACTAACGAACAAAAAAAATGCCTTTCTTTTTTGGGGAGTGGAGGTGGAGGGAACACCTGGTGATGCTCAGGGGTTTCTCTTGGCTCTACACTCAGGAATTACTCTAGGCGGTGCCTGGGGGCTCATATGGGATGTAGGAGATTGAACCTGGGTTGGCTGCGTGCAAGGCAAATGCCCTACCCGCTGTACTATTACTATTACTATTACTATTACTCTGGCACCAAGAAACTTGCCCTTTGGGTCTGAGTGATAGTACAGCAGGTAGTGTGCTTGCCTTGCACATGGCTGGCCCGGGTTTGATCCCTGGCACCCCATATGGTCCCCTGAGCCTAGCCCAGAGTTATCCCTGAGTGCAGAGTCAGGAGTAAGCCCTGAGCACCTCTAAGTGTCACCCAAAAAAAACAAAAGAAAAGAAGAGACTAGTTTGGGGGAGAAGGGAGGTAGGGTAAAAGAGTGAAATAATAAAAATTGTATCCTTTTGTATGTCCACGTGGGTTTTTGTCCTCCTGGTTCCTCCAAGCCCAGGGAAGGTGGGTACTCGGTCCTTTACTGTCGGGGTAACAGATAACCACAGCCCATTCGAGAAAGTGAGGTTCAGAGAAGGTGAGGGCTGGCGTCCTTGAGGCTCTAGTTAGGCAGGATCCGGCTCAGACCTGCTCTTTCTACAACCTTCTCTTTCTTCTGGTGTAACTCTAGCTGGGCAGCCAGCTCCTGGGGTCCTTATTCTGCCAAGAAGCTGGAGGCAGCCGGCATTGCAGACATGTGATTTCTGCAGCATAATTCCTCATACTCCCGTAAAGGTTGGTCATTCACCCAAACACATCGCGTGTGCTGACCTCGAAGGAAGCAGTGGAAGGGACAGTGGGAAAAAGGGACAGTAGTACAAGCATGCTGCTTGGGTGGGCAGAGACCCCCTTGCTCCCCCCAAGTTGACGGCGTAGAGTAATGGCAGCTGCAAGGTGAGGGCGGGAGGGAGGTGGGCGGTGAGACCTGGCTTCTCGAAGCTTTGTTTTCGCGTAATAACAGCCTTATTAGGGGTATAATTCACATGCCACAAAATCCACCCTTGGAAGCTGGGTAATAGCCTGAGGTTGTCCCAGAATGGGACAGTGGTGGTGTGTGCTGGGGGCAGGGACAGGTCATCCTGCAGCATCCAGAGAGCTGGTGGGGTCCCAGGAAGCCTCTTGAATCCCACAGTCAGTCACCCTCCTGCTCGGCCTCGGGGGACCAGTGCTGAGACTCCTGCCCCTGCTCTGCTTCCTGAACGTTTGTCCTGCTGGCGGAGCTCTGTCCTCTGCCCTGCCCGGTGTGCAGCCGTCCTGCTCGGGGAGAAGCCCTGCGCTCTGGTCCAGGGCCCGGGAACACTTTGTTTCCTTCCCCCGAGGCCCTCTTCTCGGCTGCCCCAGAGCTCTGTGGAAAGGTCTGGAGCGTCTCAAACCACAACTTTCACTTCATGTGTCAGTGATTCTGCACTGTCATATCTGCAGTAAAACTGAGCTCCTGGGCTTTCCCGGAAGAGCAGGAGCTTTCTTAGTGTCCCGGGACAAACAGGGGTCCCTCTGCGTGTGATAATTCTGAGTCACCATCCGTGTGTGTGTTCACATGTGCACGTGCACACACACACACGCGCGCACACATTCTTCACACACACTCTCCTAACACACTCCTACACACATACCCCACTCACACACACTTTCTCCTAGCACTCTCTGCTACACACACACACATAGACACATACAGCCTCTCCTCCTCACTCCTCACACAGACTTCTCCTAACATGCACTCACATACACACACACCTCCTCCTCACACATACACAATCCTTTCTTCTTACATGCACACATTCCTCCTACCTAATACTCCTAATACATTTCTACCCTTTTCTCTCTCTCTCTCTCTCTCTCTCTCTCTCTCTCTCTCTCTCACACACACACACACACACACACACACACACACACACACAAACCCCTCTCCTTTGCATACGCACACTCCTCCTCACACACACACCTCTACATACTTTTTTTTTTTTTTGGCTTTTTTTGGTCATACCCGGCGATGCACAGGGGTTACTCCTGGCTTATGCACTCAGGAATTACTCCTGGCGGTGCTTGGGGGGCCATATGGGATGCTGGGAATCGAACCTGGGTCGGCCACGTGCAAGGCAAACACGCCCTACCCGCTGTGCTATCACTCCAGCCCCTACACTCTCTCTCTCTCTCTCTCTCTCTCTCTCTCTCTCTCTCTCTCTCTTCACTCACAGTCACACCCCCCCCCCCCCCAATCTCCTCCTGACACAGGAGTGGAACACGGACCCCCTCTGCTCTCCCCTGGTCTGAACTGGGAAGACCAGTTGGCTTGTGCTGCTCTCAGGAGATCTGCTCTTTCCGGTCACTGACTTCCCCGTTTCTCTTGCCTCCAGCCACCTGCCCTTCTACCTGGCGTCCCCACCTCTTGTGTGCATCCTGAGACAGACCTGGTGGCCAAGCCCAGGGCCAGGAGGCAGTCCTGGCTGGACAGGCTGGGGAGTGCCCTTTGGAGCGGCTCCCACTGGTTCCCTGGAGGCTCGGCACTGCCTCCCTGGGGGCAGGCTCTTCTAGGAACTCGTGCCCCAGCTGGTTGGGAACCGCTCTGGGCTGGTGAGCACTGGCTCTGGGGGCTTCCTTTGGGCTGACTGGATGTTTGCTGCAGGGGTTCAGCCCTCGGGGATGCCGAGAGGGCTGCAGGGCTGCAGAGGAACCAGGCTCCGTGCACTGCATCGGCACCAGAGACCCAGTGGCTTTGCTGTTGCTTTCCTCATTTGGAATGGGGTGGCAGGTGGCCAGAGACGAGATACACGGAGAGCAAAACCTTCACACTGAGCCTCAGTTGCTCGGGGCCTTCCTGTAGGGAGAATGGAAGACGAGCCAAGCTGTGTCACAGGCTTCCTCGCTCTGTAGTCTTGTGCTTGCCACCTCCTCTCTCTGAGCTGCAGTGTCTTCCATAAAACAGAGGCTCAGAGCTCCCCCACAGCACTATTGGGGGGCAGTGGGGAGGTGAGAGTGAGGACCGGCCTGGCCAGCTGGCAGCTCTGTCGTGGCCCCCATCAGAGCAGGGGCTTTCCTCTGCCGGAAGTGGTTTCTCAGACTCCTCTGCGCCCCCTTTAACCTCCACAGATGCAACGTTTTTAAACTGGAAGGGCTGGCAAGAGGTCACCTGGCATAATTACCTTTCATTTGGCAGATAAGACGAAATGGACATAACTGTAACAGATCTGTCATACCCTGGTACAGACAAGCCCTTCTGTCCTGGCGGGGGGATCCCCCCTTACTCTCCCCCCACATACATACACGCGCACTCAGGGGCTCTGACCCGCGCTGCGCAGCATGGCATGGAATCGCCGCGCATCAGGGGAGCACGCTTGGTTCTGTGAGGCTCCTAGACTCGTTGTCTGGGTGCTCGCAGTGGGCAATCCACAGCTCAGGGGCAAAGACCCCAGGCTCAGAGTGGCGGTGAGGCTCCCTCTGGCCAACGCTTACCTGCCCCTTCCCTTCTCCCAACAAGGCCAAGAAAGGCTCGCCCCTTCACTTCCCCCTTTCAGAATTGGCCACGGTGGAAGAGTGGGCATTAGGACAATCTTGAGGGTTTTCCTTCCAGGGAAACCACCTTTGACCCATCTCTTTGAGAAAAAGGAAAGAATCAAAAACCAATGGAAGGGATCTGAACAAATAGGCTTTCCCCTGGCTCTGCAGCCTCTCTGAGTGTGGGGTCAGTCAGAGCTTCCTGAGCATCAGAAATCTCTGCCCTTTCCCACCAGGGCCTAGGAGTCATCAGAGGAGAGTGGGGATGAAGGAGAAATGAGAGCATGTCCCAGTCAGTAACCCCACCTCCTGCCTCAGTTGCTAGAATGAAAGCCGAGAGCTTCTCGTTCGTTGCTCGCCGGGGCAGGTCTGTGCAGCCCCGTTCTCCATCACCTTTCCCAAGGAATCTGGTGAGACAAAAAAAGTAAAACTTGGGGAGACTGTTATCAGCGTGACTAGGGCTAGGGAGACAGCACTGAGGTCAGGGACATGTGCTCTGAGACCCTCGGGCTAGATGCCCAGTGCACGTGCCTCCAATGGGACTGCCGAATCTGAGCAGTGCCAAATCCTCTTGTTGAACGGGTTGGTAGAGTATTGCCAGGAGTGGGCCCTGGCACCTTGAGGACTGCTGGACAGACCCTCCCCCCTCATCAAAAAACATTATGAAAAATGTTTCTGGTAGAGGATTCTGCAGGATTAACGGCACCCCAAAAAGAAAAGAGATTTCTTTTTCATTTCTCAAGAGGTGGGGGCCTGCCAAACCATGCTCAGGTTGCATGGGGTCACCCCAATGGTCATCTGCCCTCAGAAGCTTCCATGTTTGGGCCCAGCCCTGGGGTCCTGTGTATGCTGGGGGACACCAGGGCCCACATGAAGGTTTTGGGGTGGGGGCCCATGAACTCCTGGGATGGAACTAGGGGCATGATGCCCTGAGCCATCTCCCTGGCCTCAGAGTTTTCTTTGTGGAGGAGAGCGATGATGCCCTCCAACATCACACACACACACACACACACACACACACACACACACACACACACACACACACTTTCCTGGCAGGCCTGATGGGTTTCCAAACATTTCGTCACCGTCTCCTCCTGACCTTGGCGTGAAAGGAAAGAGCCGCGTGGCCTGTGGGTTCCAGGACAGCCATCGGGGGGCGCCGGCCTGGACTCGGGGGAGGAGGGTGGCAGCCCAGCAGAGTGGAGGTGAGGTCTGCTGGAAATCCCCAGCCCCGGCGGCCGCCGGAGGTTTAAAGACGCCTTCCCGGCCTTATTTGGTCGCAGGAAGTGGGCGGCGCCGGGCCTGCTGGCCGAGAGACCGAGCCGAGACAGTTGTGCTGATGAAGTGGTAGAGCTGGTTCCTGCTCGCCGCCGTGCCGCGCGCGCCGGCCGGCCGCTGGGCGCTTCGTGCTCCCAGCCCCGAGTTGTGCAATCCTTTGTAGCACGCCAGAGAGTCCTCCTCCTTCGCTGTTGCCTCTCGCCCTCTCTCTCTCTCTCTCCCTCTCTCTCTCTTTTTTTCAAGCTGTGAGCTCAACCGATGAGTCAGAGCAGTGCAATCCTGACACTGCATCGCAGGACTGGGGGTGACACGGAGGGAGAGCGATCGCTAGGCGGACACCAGCAGCAGCGGCGGCGGCGGCGGCGGCGGCAGCGGCAGCGGCAGCGGCAGCAGCAGCGCGGGGTGCGCCGAGCGAGCTCCCTGCGCCGCGAGCGGGGGGTGACAGCCCGCGCGTCCCGCCCGGGCCCTGCCAACAAAACTTCCCAGCCTCGGGAGGCGCGGGCTTGGCGGAAACCCCGCGAGCGCCGCGGGGAGGCGACGGCGCCTGTTTGTTTTTAAAAAATCCGGGAGTGCGTGCAGGCGGCTGGAGTCTGGGAGGCGGTGGAAGGCGGCGGCGGCCTGCGGCGGAAGGGGGGACCGCCGATGCCGGGGCTCCGACAGAAGCCTGGTAAGTGGAGGGGTGGGGGGCTGGCGAGGGGTGCTTATCGGAGCGGCGGCCGAGGCCTGCACGCGGCGCGGTGCAGCCCGCCCTGGCGGTGGCGGCCGGGAGTCCTCCGGGCTGCGTGCAAGCGGTGGCCGCTGGGCGCGCGGGCTGCAGTCTTGCAGGCGCGGCAGGGAGAGAGGGGCACGCGGCGGCCGCGGGGCGCGGTGGAGGTGGGGGGGGCGCCCCGAGCGTCAACTTCTGCGGCCTGGGCGCCGGGGGTGGGGTGGGGGGGTTGCTCCGTGTGTGCGGGAGGGAGGGTGTGCGTTTGTTCCCGGACGCGCGCAGCCCGCAGCTGCGTGTGCTGCGCGGACCCTCCGTGTTTGTGCAGCTACGCAGCTCGCGCGCGGCCCCCGCCCACCCGGGCGCGGCCCCGGCAGGAAAACGCTCCCAGCCCGCCTGGCCTGCGGCGGCGGCCGCGGCGGCGGCTCTGGAATACGGCAGCGCCTCCTCCGCCCCGAGCCCCGAGCCCCGCGTGGTGTCCGCAGGGACTGGCGTGCAGGACGGAGCCCAGGCCCGCGCGGGTTTTCCCGTGCAGAGTGCACCCGCATGCGGTTCTGGAAACCCGGCCCGCCCCGGGAGCGGGACGGGGGGACACAGAGGTGCGGCGGCGGTGGCCGGGACCTGGGGCAAGCGAAGTAGAGGCCTAAGCTGGAGGGTTGGGGCGCCCTATTGGCCTCACCCCCACGCACCCCGGCTCTGCTGGCGCACCTCAGACCTATCATCCCTCTCGCCCGCCCCCGCACTCCCCAGAGGCTGCTGTGGGCCCGGAGCCCCGCGCCTCGCTGCTGCCGCGTTTGGGGGTTCCTGGGGGGGGGAGCCCAGGTTTTGTCTGGAGCGTGCATGCGCTGGCTCTAGCAGTGAGACTTGGCCCCCTGTCAACACGCGCGCGCACACACACGAACACACACACACACACTCACACACGCGCCCATCTGGGTGCCCCTCTGAGGGCAGGCACGCGCGCTTTGGGGTTGGACTTGGTCACCCCACCCCCATCCCCGTTCCGTGGAGCTCAGCGTCTAGGAAGGCAAACCTGGAGAGTGGCGAGCCCCTTTCTCCTGAGCCCCCCAACCTCCTCCCTCACCGCCCCTCAGCCTGGGTGAGCTGCTCGCTGCAAGATGAAAGGGGAAGTGAACTCTCCCCGTTTCAAACTTTGTTGGTCACAACTTTGGTGGCCGCTTCCTGCTTCCACCTGCCCACTGGGGAGTTGTTTGCCCCTCACCCCACCCCAGATCCCGTCCGGGTCGTTGGTGGGATGAGGGGAGAGGTGGCAGGCCAGGCTGATCCGAGGCCTCCCCTGGCACGTGTGTTCAGGGGATCCCTATTGGCAGCGGTGACTGAGGAGGAAGGGGTGGGCTGGCTTGCTCCAGCAGGGGGAGCCTGGTCTAGCGGCCTCCTGCAGGGCTGCCCTCTTCTCTGGCCCTTCTGCTTTGGGACCGAGACCCGGAGACCTTCCGGAGGCCACCTCACCATATCCAGCCTTCCTTGCCCTCTCAGGAATAGTGTGGCACAGGTCCCTTTAGGTTGAGTGAATCGTGTCTTTTCCATGGGCTCTTTATTTTTATTTCCTTTTTTCTCTTTTCTTTTCTTTTTGCACCATACCTGGTGATGCTCAGGAGTTACTCCTAGTTCTGCACTCAGGGATCCTTCCAGGATGTGGGTGGGGGAGATAGAACTCAGGTCAGCCGAAACCCTACCCGTTGTAGTATCTCTCAAACCCATGCATGGGCTCTTTAGATGGCTTCATGGGCAGGGAAAAGGGGAACCCTTGCCAGATTGAGAATTTGTGGGTTCTCTTTTTGCCCTGCATCTCTGGACAGTGACTAAGAGGGGTGTAAACATTCAATTACCGTGATATCCTATCTCCCGGCACGGCTCAGCCTCCATTCTCATTGGACAGTCATCTAACTGGTGACTGGACAGTCACTCTCTCTGGACAAGGGGATGGCACCCCTGGAGGACAGACAGCCCCAGACCATGCAGCCTACCCATCGCTAGGATGGCCTTTCCAGGCATGAGGCTGAGCCCCTGATCCCCTTGGCTCCGGACAGCCCACCCCCCTCCCCTGCAGAGCGCACCCTGGAGGATCTGGGGGAAAGGAGTTCAACTTATAGACGTGGTACTTAAAAATAGTCCTGTGAGCTTAAAAATTTGGCCCTGTGAGCTGCTTTTAAGAAATCGGGGGAGCAGGGGGCAGGATGCATTTTACAGATTAAGCAGAGCGCCTCTTATGTCTGCAGAACCCAGGCACTTAGCCAGGTAGAGCTGTAGAGCTGAGGCCTCTGGGCCCCTGAGTGTCAAAAGGATGAGGGCACAGATGCATCAGGCTTAGTGGCCCAGAGGGGCTTGGACCCAGGCAGGCTTCTCTGCTGCAGCTGTTGCTGTTGTTTCTCCCAGAAGCAGCTCAGCTTGCTGCAGTGGGAAGGACCACAAGTTGCTAGGAGGTGCTCATCTGTCCTCCTCGTTCTGTTTCCAGTGCCACTTTGGAGAGCCCTCAGCTTCTGAAGACTCATTTCCATTTTCTGTCAGTTGTGTGTGTGTGTGTGTGTGTGTGTGTGTGTTCATCGTGTGGCGGTCAGATTGTGGACATGGCTGGAGACTCTAGTCTCCCTTGCTAGAGCGAGTTGCCCTGTGCGTGCTGTGAAATGCTGAGAGTGCATGTCAGTGTTTGTATAGTCTCAGCTCTCCCGTCCGCTGCCTTCTTCCCATGCTCCCCAGCATCAATAGGTTGGTGACTGTCAGTTGAGCAGGAAAATTAAAAAAAAAAAAGTGGCATGCATTAAGCCCCATGAGTCCATCCAGAGATGAAGGTTTACAGATAATCAGACCGGGGGTGATTCTGGGGAACCCAGTTTCCTGCCCTATGACTGACCTTCTGGGGAGTTTGTCCTACTTATCTTGACCCTGTGGGACGTCAGGGTAAAAGGGCAGGGTACATCCTGCCTGGCACCGTGTGTGTGTGTGTGTGTGTGTGTGTGTGTGTGTGTGTATGTGTGTGGTGTGTTATTTATGCATCACTATGGAGTAGCTGAGAGGTTCCAGCTTCCCTGACTCACCCTGGACTGTAGGAAATGCACCTGGTGGCTGAGATCCTTGGAGCAGTTGCTTCTATGCCAAGGACCTCTGACCATGGGGGGCCCGTACTGGGCAGGAGCTAGGTGCAGTGAGCTGAGCCATCCCACACCCTCCCCCCACTCCTGACTAAAGGAATCCTCATTTGAATTCGAAGCAGCATTTCAGGAGACCGGGAGACTGTGAGTTCATTTTATGAATCAGAAACATGACAGCATCACTTGGTGGTGGAGCCTGCAGTTTGTGATCCGGTTTCCCCTCTGTGCCCGCACCCTGCCGGGGGTTCTCCTGTCATGCCTGGGAGCAGTCAGACTCCGTGGGACATCCCTTTAGATTCCAGAGCCAGCCAGCCAAACCTGTCCACACCCCCTTCCACCTCCGCACTCCAAACCTCATTCCTGTACGGTATGGACAGAGTGACAGGAGAGGCCCTGGTGAGGCCACGGAGAGGAGGTCTGAGCAGATGGGGGTCGTGAGGAGCACAGTGGCCTAGGTATGGCTTCCCCTCCCGAATCTCTGTTTCCTCACCTGGAAAATGGAGGTGATACTAGTCCTTCAAAGGGTTTGGCCGCAGAGGTGAGAGAATGTGCTGGGCCTTGCATGCCAGTAGATATTCAGGACATGATTCCTATTTCCTTTTTGATCCTGGAGGCATGATGGGTGTCATGTGGTCACCAGAGTTCAGGTGAGCCAGTTCTTTTTCTAACTCTTAAGGCCCCTGATACCTGCGAGCCTTCCAGGTTTGAGGCTTCAGCCCTGCCAGTGAGGGTTAAGGACTCATCTTGCAGACCAGGTGATGGTTTAGGCCAGGACTCGCCCAGGCCCTAGGCGGAGCCACTCACGTGGGTGGGAGGAAGGTGGCTGTCTCTGTGCCGGAAAAAGTCCTCCTGTCTTGGCCTCACCTGAAGCCTCCCAGAGTGACCTCATTGGAAGTTTGGGTGGAGCTGGGGGATGGGCAAGTTCCCACCTCAGAGAACTTGAGGCTCTTTCACCAACTGAACTAGGAGGGGCTGAACGGAGAGGGGGCAATTCTCCAAGATTATTATATAAGAAGTTGGGCTGGAGCGATAGTACAGTAGGTAGGGCATTTGATTTGCACGCAGCCTACCCTTGTTTGATCTCTGGCATCCCATATGGTCCCTTCGAGAACCACCAGGAGTGATTCCTGAGTGCCGAGCCAGGAGTAACCCCTGTGCATTGCCAGTGTGACCAAAAAAAAAAAAAAAAGCCTAAAAAAATTAAAAGTTGCAAGTCAGAAAAGGGCGAGGTGCAGCAATAGTACAGCGGGTTGGGTATTTACCTTGCCCATGACTGACCTGGTTTTGATCCCTGGCAGCACATATGGTCCCCTGAAGCTGCCAGGAGTGACCCCTGAGCACTGCTTGGTGTGCCTCTCCCCCCCTTAAAATTTTTTTTAAAAAAGGAAGGAAAGAAAAGTGCTTGGGGTCAGCTGCTGAGGGGGTGGGAGGGTCCTGCCAGGCACATGCTTGCTGGCTATGGTTTGCGGGGGTGAGTGGGGAGAAGGCCCCGACCCAAGGCTTTTCCTAGCAGTGCTTCTTACCCTTCCTGGGAACGCAGCCTGGCACTGGGGCCAACTGGGGAGGTGCTCCTGGGTTCTCTGCTTGGCTCTCTGGCCATGGGGAACTGCTGGGGAGAGCGTGATTTTTTTCCAGGCAGCGCTGCTTCCCCTGGAGTGGAAGCCGAGGGCAGGGGAGCCGCCAGGGCACGCTTTGTCCCGGCTGGAGCTTGGAAAGAGGGAAGTGTCCCAGGCTTGCAGCCAGAAGGGGTTTCCCTTTGCGGCCGCCTCACTTCTCTGGGGGCCTGGGAGGGGAAGGGAAATAGTGAGGGACTTCAATTTCCAGAAGTTCGGCAGACAGAAATCCCTCCTCCCC